TCATCACACTGATGCGTCCGTTCAAGACGAAGCTTGCCATCCTCGTTAATGCATTCATCTGTTCCCGGTTCATGGCGTCGATCATATAGAGTCTCGTAGTTCGATCGCCATCTCTTAGGGCTCTCAGAAAATAAATTCTCAAACACAACGTAGAGCGTTCCATGTTTCCCCAGAGGCAGTGTTTAAGCCTTCTTATAACTTTTCAATGCATCTTTAGATATCCAACTGTTGAACTTGTCGGGCCAACCCCACCACTTGACCAACACCTTGTTTCCCTTTCGCTGCAACACCTTCTCGATGCGATTTACGATCTCTTCTGCAACCCTCACCTTTCTCAATTCGGACACGTAGAACGTGCCCCGAATCCGATCCACGGCGATATCCGTCAAAGCGTATTGTGGAACCCCTTCGGAATTTCCCCTATCGATCACCGTGAAATGTTCGTTCGTCCAGCGCTCGTCGTATTCTCGATCGAAGGGCCTTCGCACGGCCGAGATGCGAATGTAGTCTCCGACACGAAATCTGTAGCAGAGCCCGCTCTTGGTCTTTCTCGGTCTCGCAGAATAATTGAGTTTCCGCAGACGCGTCTCGTCCTTTTCTGTCACACTCTTCGGAGCTTTCTTTACCGATCGGTGATAGGTGGCGTTGTAGCTTTCGGTGGTACCCTTCAACACGTCGACTCAACTACGAGGAGTCTGACGCCGGGTGGCATAACGAGCCAGTCTGGTCTTGATGGTTTTCAAGGCTCTCTCGGCATAATTGGCTTTCGGCTCGTTCTGCGTGACAAACTGTCCGATTCCTCGTTCCTTGGTTAATTTCCTCATGATGGAGTTACAGAATTCCGTTCCCTTGTCCGTCCTGAGCTTGCGAGGGACCCTGCCGGCGTCGAAAATCGAGCGCAAAGCCTTTACCATCTCCGATCCCCGCAGCGTGCGCAGGGGAACCGTCCACAAGTAGCGAAAAAACACGTCTATCGCCAATAGGAAGTAACAATCGTATCCGATTTGCTTTGCAAAGAATATTCAGCAGACGACTTAGAGCAACAAGCAAGAAATATCGCTATTTTGTATGAGGATGCATGGTTTGTAGTACCTACAGTACAACTTCTTGACTTCCATGCAAAAGATAAGATATCTCCAAACATATATCAATACTTCTTTACGCAGGTATTAAACTTCCCCAGTCCTATTCCTGAATACCCGTGGATGGAGGGAGCAGGACATATGGCCGAATTTGCGTATCTGTTTGGTCACACAGGCATGAACGAAATCGATGCATCCTTGTCTTCTGACGAAGAAAGGGCATTTACCGACGTCCTCGTCACTTATTGGACGAACTTTGCTAAAACAGGGCAAGTAAGCTATTTATTATTTACTAGGATTGTCATATCGGTCAAATCGTGGTAGACCGATTACTCGAACAATCTTCCGATCGAGTAATCGGTTGATCGGTTCATTTAGTTATCAAACAATAAACAACGACATTATGTTTTCTGTTTAGCAAATGTTCTATTCTTATTCTATACGTATTTACACCACATACATACATGTATATATTAATTAGCATGATAGTTTACTCGCGTATTTCAAGTTAAGCGCAGGTAATAGTTAGATGTAACCTCAGGTAGCATATTTCATGGACAACAAATGTCTGAATATAGTAAAACGGGATTCAGTTACAGTTATCTGTACTCGAAATCATATGCTGTTATATTGTTCTTTGGATCGACAAACGTTTTCATACAAGTTTGCTCATTCAAGTGTTTACTCTTCAGATTATATTTTCATCTTGCATGTAAACGCGAGTTCTACCTCTAAAAGTTAATAGTTAACAACTTTGTTTTCTGGCTTCCTTTTATAATCTGTTTATGTTATTGATGGTGTTGGTGGCATCTCTTAGTCAATCTTTATAATAGAGTACAAAAACTTGTAGCTTGTAGGTCTAAGCCAAACATGGAGCTCCCAAAAGGGGTAAATAAATGTCCGACTATTTGGTTATTGATTTTGGTAACCGGTTCGTAGTCTAACGACCGGGTAACCGGTTAACCGCCTAACCGTTGGCAACCCTATTATTTACACAAAGTTGTTCAACATGAATTAATCATTGCGCCTATGCTTTTGTTAACAAGACAGATGTCGAAGATACGTAACTAGTTCATCTCTTAAAATGTTCAAACTTACAGCATGTTCTCAAATGTTTATATGTGGTTTCAGAAATGAGAAAATCGGTCTAAATATGTGAGACATTGCTTTGCGGCAGTCCCCAACTCCTCTGTTACTCACGCATGGTATATTCCGTATGTACGTTGATATGTTATTGGACATAGGAATCCGAACGGAGATGACATGGTCCCATGGAAGGCGTTCAGTTCTAACGACCGGGACTATTTAGAATTGAAGTATCAGCCAGTACCGGGCCAGAACTTATACGAGAAGAGGATAAATTTCCTGTTACATGATATACCGAACAAAATCAAGAACAACGTCAAGATTGAGTTATAGAAATGTAACACTTATTGTTTGGATATACGCCATGGCTTATGAATCGAAGGTGTTGGACAGCCATTGTGCTAGGAGAAACATATATATGTGGTATTTGCCAGAGAGCAGTCTGACGTTACAATTGAAATGACGTCATAAAGTGAGTGTTAAACTGATGCTTCTAAAAATAGTAACACCGAGTTAACATCACAAATCACAGACATCCACACATGAGTATGATCCAGCCTCTGATGGTGTAAGGAAATTGTTAAAATTGTTATTCGTAACATTTGAAACGGTATTCAGCTTGAAGTCTCTCCAAAATCTTCCAAATCTATTTATCACCGGAACAAGAAATTAAGCTTGAGCACAGAATCGGAGTTTGAGCATGAGAATGGTTTCATGAATACGGGCCCGTATTCATAAAACCATTCTCGTGCTCAAGCATGGATTTTGTGATCAAGCCTGATTTCTTGTTTCGGTTATAACATAATAATAAAAACTTGGTATGTTTCTGATCATTGATTTGGAAAAAAAGACATTGATTGGGGAAATGTAAGATTTATTTAAATATAAGAAAACATTACTTTACTCAAAGAATAATTGATAACTGGAATAGTCTCCCACAAGATGTTATTTCATCTCGTAACGTATTTGACTTTGAGAAAACTTGGACGAATTCTGGAAAGATCTTGAGTTGAAGTACGATCATACATAGTCTTATGTATAGGCTTAGCTTATGTTTACCACATTGTATTTCAAATTATATTGATGTGGATATAGAGGAAGTAATGCCTGCGTCCAACAATATCCTATTAAATCTTATTAACAAAACAACAGAAAACAAAAGCCAAGCACTACCATAAATAATGTGTCACGAGTGAAATTATCTGTAGTACCGAAAACTGTAAAGTAACGTTATAATTGGTTTTACAGGTACCTCTCCCCTTTTGCTGTATATGTACATAAGTTTTGGAATACGTTTCAAAAATTGATTAATACTATTCTGATATCTAGTATCATCGACGATTCCTAAATGGACGAAAAGGCATTGTTTAATGTAGTTGGGTTTTTTGCGTCTACAGGTACTAAATTATATTTTGGCGGAACAATTTGACATACATTTTCATTTTTTGAACTTAAGTGTCACTAATGATCACTAAATGGACTAAATATTCATATGGTTTATTGAATATACTAAATTGTGACGTAGGTGTTTCCCTACTTCATATTTCTAGTGAGTACATGTACTTGTATTTGATCATAACATCGTCGTATCTGTCTTCCCAATCTTTCCGAGAAAGACTGAAGTCCCTGTAATATTTACATGTCCTACAGTACAGGTTTTGATCGTCTTCCTTCCCTATAGATACCTGGGGCCCTGCTTTTTTTAGTTTAAACATATTTATTGCCAAAATTAGACAAGGGATTAGGCACAAGTTATAACAACTTATCAACGCCTTCTCCCAATATACATTTGAAATGACATTACAATAATGACATTAAATATATACAATTATTATTACAACTTGAACTCAAAATTTCTTGCTGGATTTAATAAAGTTTTGCACAGAGCACTGCAGGTAGGGCGTAAGAATTGTACCTGCTGCCCCCATTGCATGATCGTAAGAGGCGACTAAATTTGGGATCTTATCTTTTCTCTTCTTTCTAAACAACTTTCTCCTTCCTAATGTCTCCCTTGACACTGCCTCACTTTTGGCCTTAAGTTGAGCGTTCGCCCCTGTGAGGAAGGCTCTGGGCTCTGTCCCCTGGCCGAGACATACCAGAGTCTGTAAAAATGGTAATTTCTACTCCTGCTTAACGCTCAGCAATTTAGGAGTGGGACGACTGGTTCGCCCGTTGTCAGTATAATGTGACCGGGTGGGGTGTCCTGCTGGGTATCTTCGGCAGTATGTTTCAGTGAGGTAGCACTATAAAGTCGGCATCAGTTCCGCGCTATCACAAGGAGACAAACACGAACATATCGCAGCCTCCCAAAACACACACGCATACACTACACACATGCATCTTGCACACAGTGGAGGCCGTTCTTAAATGACCATTGCTGTTGATAGCACGTTAAACATTACTAAACCAAACCGAACCGAGAAAGCTTGAGGGTTCTCACTATAAAGTAACGAATGATCCAAGTTTTAATTGCCGACAGAACACCAACCTCCGTCAGTGAGACGAACCCCGTATGGATGGAGTCATGTAGACGATATAAACCCGTCAACCAACCAAGTTTTAATTTCGGTTGACAACTGTGCAGGAGATTCAAATACTTTTACATTGTATCTATACTTTCAAATTAAGTACATGTAATATATTTGTTTATGATATGCTGTCCTTTTTGTCACGTTTTTTTTTTATCCCATTCTATAAAAAACGGATTTATATAAGGTTCATAAGCTTGTTTCCGGATTCTGTTTCTAAGCAGTAATTTGATAATTTGATATAAATTGAAATGTAAATGCGTGCATCAGAAAAGAAAAAAAAAGTTAACAACAAATACTGTCTGTTTTTTTTATTTAGGCTAAATAATATTAATAAATGTGTGTTGACATTTTAAGTTTTTCGTGACTCATTTTAATTCGAGTTAACTGTATTATGTGTTGAAGTCTATCAAAACTATCAAGTGTATTACGAAAGAAAACTGAAATCTTAGAGTCACACTTCTCACCAGACACATATACCTCACTGCTAAAATTTAACCACAAATCTGAAGTAAGTCTTACCATCTTGACTAACATTTTTAGGGAAAAAACATATTTGCACATCGCCATCATGAGTGTGCGTTAATACAAGTTACTGCGTCAACATTTTAAACAACTTTAATGGTTTTATTCTTAGTAAACAATATGTTTATCTAAGATATTAAACCAAAACAAAGGAACAGCCTATACTGTTGTTATAAAATACGCTTAATGTCGAACCTGGTTATTTCAGTCGCCACTAATCGGGATGACACAGTACCCAGATATAATATTGGGAAAGGTGTTTGTTGCTCAAATTGTCAGTAATTTTACCGTTTACGCTGGAAATAATTGAGGCTAAACGAAATTCAACTGTACATGAAGAGCTGAACGCTAAACAGTCCTGAACAAATATTTCAGATGCAAATCCAAACACGATGGTAGCAACAAATTGTCCATTCCCGGAATTATTTTCAATAGATTTTTGAAAGCGTCGTCGGAAATGTTCAATTATCACCAAGTCCCTCTCCAACTTAGATATCCGGGATCAACTGATGTTATATAATGTTACAATGAAAAAATATCAAAATAGAACTGTCGTAAAAATCGTGACGAATTGTAGCAAAGAGTCATTCAATTACATGATTTAAGAGAAAAATACGCCCCGACCCATTGACCTCTTATCTACAACCACTTCAGCATGTGTTTGTTCCTAATTACTGACAAACAAAAACAGTAAATGTGGGTCATGTTCCTAAACATAAAAATTATGAAATTGATGATTTAACCAATTTTCGTCAACTGATCATTCCACCTGAACTTTGAACCAGTCTTTTCTATTGAATTCGTTGTTCTTTATCCTTCAACCTGACTTTTAATTCTCAAACCTTGTATGCTTCCGTATTCCATTCCGCGTTTTGACATTGATATTTTCAAACTCCTTTAACGTTCGTCCACACTTTTGACCTCAGTTTTCCTTGTGTTTCTGAGTTTTGGAAGCCAATCAAGCCCCAGAAAGAAACAAAACCATACCTGAAGGAAACAACAGTTTATTACAAATAGCTTAATATACAAATAGAATATATACGTAAATATATCACAATATATTTATATATCTATATATATGCAAGAAAATACAGTGATTTCGAAGTAATGTACATACAACTAATAGAGTATTAAGGTCTAACCCAATACCGTGAATATAATCAGCGTCAAACGGATTTTTTTTTGTTATAATTCAGAAGTTCATGATTTAGTTGTTTTTATTCAATGAACTTATTTAGAATGCAATTGTTTTATATTATTTTTAACATAGCTGATAAAAGTGTACATATATTTGTTTCAGTTATGAAGATGAAATCATCCATAAAATGTCGAAAAACACGATTGCATGTCAATTGAAGCGGAGACAAAACATGATTTGGTCAAAGCTGGAATCTTTGGTAGCTGTAGAACCAGAGTCGTCCTTAATGATTATAAATATATTTTAACATTATTCTAATTTTCTGTTGACATTAGAAGTACCATTTATAAAATATAAAATTGAATTCTGCAGTATAATTATAAACGTTCATCACAAATTTATGATACAACGTTGTATATATGAACTTATATCTAACAAATAGAACCCAACCTGCAATCTAATTAAAATCAGAACTCTGGGCTTTGTTACCTATACATGTGTTGTGCAGGTAACCAAGCAAGCGGTCTTGTGAGGTCGGACTTTAATAAGATTGTCCAGCCTGTATTGAAGTGGTCATTTAAGCAGGTGATCTCTTTCCAGTTCCAGTTTAGTTAACATGAAAATAACTGCAACAGTGAGTTTTAAAAGTATTCTGCTAAATAGATGTGGGTTAACGTACTTCGGCAGATTTTACTGTGCGGAATAACTTAAGTGTACTGATTTAATGAATACTCATTTTGTGTGACTAAGCTTCACACAACTTATTTATAAGGATTTGAACTGGGGAAGGACCTACAATATATAAGACACAGGTACATTGTTCAAATATCTCTAAATAAATCCCTAACCATTTCACCCCTATGTAAATTTAGTAAACTCTACCATGCATTGATCTGGTTGAGTCCATTATGGTCTACAGTGGTGAAAGGGTTAATCAAAATACATCTTGCTACTAACCCTTAAAGTTTGATTTCTGATACCCCTCCTCCTCAACTCTGGGGGTATTTCAGCACCAACCTGCCCTGTGCCAGGATAAATTCAGCACAGAACAACATGAAATAAGGAATGACCTCCAGATTTACACAAATGTAGAGTTTTATTAGCAAGGCAGAGAGGAGCCAGTAAACTAATTTGGACAGTAAGTTGCAATAGTATATGGCGGTATTATAGTAGCAAATTTTAAATTAGTTCAGTAATGATCATTCTTGTTACATCATGAAAAATAGAATCCTCAATAATTTCCATAATAGGAAATAACTGACTCATTCACATTAATACCCCATCCCAGTTTAAAAAATACATTAATGTTCATGCAGGTAAAAATTGGAAAATACCACACATGATTTTAGACCTGTACAAAACATTTCTGCGACCTTTTTTATAATAACAATTCCTGTAAAGTAAACACTCAGTCTTGTGAATGTCAACATTCCATATAAAACGGAAAACAATATACATTTTAGAGGTACAACCTTTTCAAAAGGACTTTCATTCAAACTAAGATTGTTTTTCTCTCACTTTATAATAAATAGATAAATATCATCTTTAAACACACAGGTATAAGGATTTTTTTTATGGAAGTCCCTATAGGAGGGCTGGACCAAAAGGCGAAGTTAAATTTTGCTTCTGTAAACAGTTGTGCTATTTTTAAGAGCATCTATTTTTATACACACATAGAAAAGAAAGATACTTTTCATTTTCGATTGGTCATGCTGGAAATCAAATGTTGAATTTTCTACTTTGAATACTTGGACTAGACAAAAGAAAGTGTAATATTAACTATATTGCTAATGGAAGTAAATGTAGGTTGTATACAACTTACTATGAATGTCCCTTTACACAAGGAGTAAATCACAGTATATAAAATATACTGTAAGAAAAAATAAAAGGATCAACCTTTTGTAACGATGTATCAACAAAATAAATTGGAATATAAAACATTTCAGTATATTTTTGCGAATCATTTCTCTCTGTGGCAATCCCATCATCCCTCTCTGTAATGTAACCATACAAAGAGGGGGCATTTCATCACAACATACTGAAGCCTCAACAAATAAGTTGACCTTTTAGTCCTGATAAAGCCTCAACCAACATTAGAGGCAAAACTTTATGTTCCTACAAATAAATCCCCACTTACTGCTGACAGTGGAGTAGACAATAACTAAATCCCCCTCTATTATCTATCTTTATAAAGCAAAGTGTCGCACAAAACAACCCACATACCTACAACTGATATCCATTCTATGACACTTATGCATAGAAATATTCTTAGAATAAAATATAGACTTTTGATTGCAAACCTTTGACATACATGTATTCTGTATACCATAAAACATTTTGATACTTTCCTCATTATAAGACATATTATAATAGATTACATGCCATCAGAACTCATATTTTTCAAGACTAAACAAACTTAAACCATTCAAATTCAAACTACAAAATAAGTGAAAGTTGCATGTTGTGGAGTAACTACAGGATCATGTGCTTCAATTTTACTTCTATCATGTTTCTACAAACATTAAAATATCAACAATGTTTTCTTTACATGTAGACAACACAACCAGATTCATATTGTCTGTTTACAATACTTCCCGAGTTCTATATACACTGTCTGATATGTTTTGTTCTACTGATATCAATCTTACGGAACCCAGTACCACTGCTGAAAACTGTGTCTCTGCACTGAAAACCAATATTTTCGACATGACCATAACTTTGATCAATATTTTTTGAGAAGGAAAGTATCCAACTGTGCTACTGTTACCATATCCAACTGTGCTACTGTTACCATACCCAACTGGGCTACTGTTACCATATCCAACTGCCCTACTGTTACCATATCCAACTGGGCTATTGTTACCATATCCAACTGTGCTACTGTTACCATATCCATCTGGGCTATTGTTACCATATCCAACTGCCCTACTGTTACCATATCCAACTGTGCTACTGTTACCATATCCAACTGCCCTACTGTTACCATATCCAACTGTGCTACTGTTACCATATCCATCTGGGCTATTGTTACCATATCCAACTGCGCTACTGTTACCATATCAAACTGTGCTACTGTTACCATATCCAACTGCCCTACTGTTACCATATCCAACTGTGCTACTGTTACCATATCCAACTGTGCTACTGTTACTGTTACCATAACCAACTGGGCTACTGTTACCATATCCAACTGTTCTACTGTTACCATATCCAACTGGGTTACTGTTACCATATCCAACTGGGTTACTGTTACCATATCCAACTGTGCTACTGTTACCATATCCAACTGGGTTACTGTTACCATGTCCAACTGTGCTACTGTTACCATGTCCAACTGTGCTAACATTAGATTATTTAGATTTTTGCTGGCACAGCTAGCATCCAGCAACTGAATCAATGACAGGCATCACAAAACCGTAAAACACTCATTCACACAATATCATGATAACTTCAATTTTGTAACTAAATTTCATTCCTAATTGTTCCATGAACCATATTTTATTTGTGTTTACTTAATTTTGTACCTTAACAAAGGTAGTAACAATTTAAAATTACTTTATATTTCACAATAATATACATGTACACAATATAAAATATTTCACTTTGATCTCTTTCGGCCAAACTACAGAAACACACATATTTCCACAGAGCAACAACAATTTTCAAGCGCTGTACATCCTGATTAAGTATACAACTCTCCGTAACATGAAGGAATACACTTTGGTTTTACTTTTAGTGGTGAGAAATACACTGTGGTTTTATAAATAGCGGTTATCACAATTAGGCGCTTCCAAGTAAGTGTGGAAAATGCTAAAATATGATGTTGTGTTTTTCCTGTTAATGTGTAACATTTCTCACTTATATTGTACATTTAGTTAAGTAACTCTGTCAAACATAGGATTTTGTAGTATTTTCACTCTCTCTTTTTTTCACTCTTTGGTAGCGGTCGAAGACGACCAATTACTATAAATATGAAACCTATAATATGTCCAATAAAAAAGACAGAGTGCCAGTATGCTAGTGTGTAGTCCATTCTTAGCAAGAGGAAGCCCATACACATGTAGTCAAATGCACGCATCTTTAAGAACCAGTTTATACAGTCAAACATCTTGCCGGCGTCCCCTTCCTTCCTATAAGCACGCACCATTCTGTCTTCTGCAGCAACAAAGATTGGCACCAGTCCAAAACTAAGGTAATATCCGGGGTGGACACCGTGCCAGAAGGCACTGACAGCCATTGTTATAGCAACTCTGGAAAGAAAATTTAATTAAGATTATCATGTGTTAAACTTTTTATGATTTTGATTGTAACACACATCCAATCATCCTCGATACTCCGGAATTATGCTCACTGCACCCCTGTAATATGTCATGACAAAATTGAAGGCTCAGTATGAGCCACCTTGTGAGTGAGACAAGATGTTTGATCCTTTGACGAACATCAGAAGACTCACGCAGTAGCATGACAGTAACATTGACTGGCTTTGAAGTCGAGTGTAACTCTTCTGTAATTATCAGCCTTATGATTGGTCAACTTTTTTTTCACCCGAGACCAATCTATAAGGCTGATTGGTCAACTTTTTTTCCACCTGAGACCAATCAAATAGCTTACAGCATGCCTTAAATTTTGCGTTGATATTATAAGTATTAGATAATGGAGTTTGGCATTGAAGATCCACATCTACATGTATATATCAAATCTTGGTGCATTGCTTTTATTAATTGGATATCTCAAAACTTTGTATGCATTGTATTTTAGTGCAAATGACATTGTATTTTAGTGCAAATGACATTGTATTTTAGTGCAAATGACATTGAACAATGTGTACAAGTACATGATGTATTGTCCAATATTTATAGGAACTCTCCATTTTTGTATAGATTGTTCAGGTTTAAAGTCCTTGTGATGGCTAAAGTCATAAGTAATGTATGGGCCCAAATGATGGAGGCTATTAAGGCTATGTCACAAAGCCATTACCCTGGGATTTAATGCTATATCTTGAAATGAAGAAGCAATAGATACCAACAAGTCATGTTATCTGAAGCTTGGCTTACTGCCATCCATTTAGCGCTAAATGTCCAGCCGTGAAAAAGAAGTATGAATCTAAAGAACTCATTGGTTTGCCTGTCAGTGGACAGAATTTATAACCCAGATGGTCGCTTTAATTGGGGAAATGCTTAATAATATCAAGGCCGAAACCAAAAGCAGGGTAAACCCTTAGGTGTCCAGGAAACTGGTCAGTACTTACATGTATTGCATTACCTTTTGGAACTTCATAATTGACAAAAAATGCTAGCAAGTACTTGTTTGAATGGTCCTCAACATTTCTGAAATTTTATGACAAGTTTTATGACAAACAAAAAATGCAAGCCAGTACTTTTTTGAAACCCTTTGATGTACACAAGAGGCTAGACTTATCAGAACCCTTTGATGTACACAAGAGGCTAGACTTATCAGAACCCTTTGATGTACACAAGCGGCTAGACTTATCAGAACCCTTTGATGTACACAACAGGCTAGACTTATCAGATCCCTTTGATGTACACAAGAGGCTAGACTTATCAGAACCCTTTGAAGTACACAAGAGGCTAGACTTATCAGAACCCTTTTATGTACACAAGCGGCTAGACTTATCAGAACCCTTTGATGTACACAAGAGTCTAGACTTATCAGAACCCTTTGATGTACACAAGAGTCTAGACTTATCAGAACCCTTTGATGTACACAAGCGGCTAGCCTTATCAGACCCCTTTGATGTACACAACAGGCTGGACTTATCAGACCCCTTTGATGTACACAAGCGGCTAGACTTATCAGAACCCTTTGATGTACACAACAGACTAGCCTTATCAGAACCCTTTGATGTACACAAGAGTCTAGACTTATCAGAACCCTTTGATGTACACAAGCGGCTAGACTTATTAGACCCCTTTGATGTACACAACAGGCTAGACTTATCAGATCCCTTTGATGTCCACAAGAGGCTAGACTTATCAGAACCCTTTTATGTACACAAGCGGCTAGACTTATCAGAACCCTTTGATGTACACAAGAGGGTAGACTTATCAGAACCCTTTGATGTACACAACAGGCTAGAATTATCAGATCCCTTTGATGTACACAAGAGGCTAGTCTTATCAGAACCCTTTGATGTACACAAGCGGCTAGACTTATCAGAACCCTTTGCGGCACAGTAGAGACTAGCCAGTACTAACTTGAATGGAGCTAGACTTATCAGAACCCTTTGATGTACACAACAGGCTGGACTTATCAGACCCCTTTGATGTACACAACAGGCTAGACTTATCATACCCCTTTGATGTACAAAACAGGCTAGACTTATCAGAACCCTTTGCTGCACAGTAGAGACTAGCCAGTACTAACTTGAAAGGGGCTAGACTTATCAGAACCCTTTGATGTACACAAGCCGCTAGTCTTATCAGAACCCTTTGATGTACACAAGCGGCTAGACTTATTAGACCCCTTTGATGTACACAACAGGCTAGACTTATCATACCCCTTTGATGTACAAAACAGGCTAGACTTATCAGAACCCTTTGCTGCACAGTAGAGACTAGCCAGTACTAACTTGAATGGGGCTAGACTTATCAGAACCCTTTTATGTACACAAGCGGCTAGACTTATCAGAACCCTTTGATGTACACAACAGGCTAGACTTATCAGAACCCTTTGCTGCACAGTAGAGGTTAGTCAGTATTTTCTTGAATGGGGCTAGACTTATCAGAACCCATTGATGCCCACAAGAGACTAGCCAGTACCTATGGTGCTAGACTTTGAAGGAGCTTTTGATGCTAGCCAGTACTAACTTGAATGGGGCGAGACTTTTCAGAACCCTTTGATGCACACAAGAGAATACTGGCTAACCTTTAAATCTTCTGCAAAAACTGTCAAAAGCGCAGAAACAAGCTGCAAGATTACTGTTGGATGCTCCATTTGATACACCATCAGTAGAAATGTTTTCTTCATTAGGGTGGTTACCAATTGGCGAATATCTGAAATTCAAAAGAGGTGTTATGGTGTACAAATGTATAAATAATCTAGTTCCAGGATATCTTTCTAATCAATTTAATTTGTCTACCAACAGATATACTAGAACAGCATCCCAAAACTCTGTCAAGGTACCCAAACACCGTACCACATTTTATTCCAATCACTTTTTGGTACAAGGGAGCCAGATTTGGAATAATTTACCGGTTGAAGTACGACACTCTTCCTCCTTGACAAAATTCAAACAAAATATGATTGGTAACATTAAGAATGCGGTTTAATTGTCTTTTATTTTTACTATTATACTTTTTAGATACAGCTTTTATTTGTTTTATTTTCGCTATATTAGCATGTATTCTGGCAATTTTTTAGCTTTTGCTACAATAGCATATATGTAAATTAGACAATTTGTCTTTTAATGAAAACCATAATGGGTTAAGCACGGAATATGTTTCGTTGCTTCTGTGATAATTTTATTGTAATTGTATTGAACGACCGTTTAAATTATGAAATAACTGTGATATGAATTGCTGTTTAAGTAAGACCAACAATTATTTTATGCACATTTATTTGCTGTGATACTACTTTGTCTTTTAACTAACCAATTTTACTAACAGAGGACCCTGTGGAAGATTAGCTTTGCTGAACAGGTTTTGTATCCTCAATAAATATAGTTTATTATTATTTGCAAGAACTTACCATACTTGAATGGTGTGAGTCTTTACAGAGCCCTTTGATGCATACATGAGACCAGCAAGTACTTATGGTGCTAGACTTTGACAGAACCATTTGATGCTAGCCAGTATTTACTTGAATGGTGCTAGACTTTTTGGAACCCTTTGATGCACACAAGAGCCAGTACTTTTTTTAATAGGGCTAGACTTTGATACACACATGGGGTAAGTTAATACTTAACAACCATTTTAATACTTAACAACAATTTTTATGTTAGCCAGTACTTACTTGAATGGTGCTAATTGTTTTGGAACCCTCTGATGCACACACGAGGCTAGCCAGTACTGCACAGTCATGTTCCAGCTCCTCAGTCCGTCCCGTACTCTCGGTGCCATGTCACAGCCATAAATATCCAGGTTGTGTATTGTTTCAAAATCATACTGTATGTCTTTTACATCTTTGGATTTTCTGGAAATACAAAGACAACAACTAAAGTGTTTGTTAAATGTAGAAGGTTACAGATTAAGATTGAAAAGTGATTCCTATTGATATCTTTGGAAATTATAAACTTCTTTCCAAATTTCAAGTATAACTTAGCTGAAAAAGACTTCTAGGATTAAACTTATCATAAAACTTCATTGTAGAAAAAATTCTAGTAGTGAACTTATACTATATCACAGAGAAAGTACATGATATGTAAGGTTCATAAAGAGAGAAACAATCAAAATGGCACAATCATAAAATCAACATTATAGTTCATAGAAATAAACAACACATACGCTTCTGCTAATGCTGATAAATCTGTGGGGCCTTTTCCACATTTAGCCTTGCATTGCACTGGATACGCCCCAAGTGTGGACGCCATTGACATACACTCGGATACCAGCCATGCAATGTACATCCGGCAACGGAATATTGTAAACATCGGCACCATGTAGAACAGTCGAAACGGAAAGGAATGCGTAAAAAACTCATCCGTTTCTACATACTGAAAAAATAAACAGAAATGTTCATATTACTTCTAATTCAGCAACATGCAAAAGGACAGTACAGTTGGTGGAGTCTTTAGATACTGACTGCATTCAGTATAAATGATGCTCAACATCATATATTGATAATTTACTGCATCAATAAAAAAAAATCTGCATGATGGAAATATTGAAACTACTGGTAGTTAAAGGGAGGTAATCTTAAATGTCCCAATTTAAACAGAAAATTTGGTGCCATCCTACATGATACTTCATACTCTTTCTATTATAAAACTATTGCATCTAAAATTTATTCAATCCAACAAGTCAAGCTAATTAAGTGGAAAATTACAGTATTTCTCATTTTCCACAAAACTGTTAATACTCTTGCTAGATATTCAGTCCTAGCAAGCTTAACCAATGCTTAGCCAGACAGTCTTTTGGGCAACCTTATTTTTCATACATAGAGATGCCCTGGTTTGTTCCCTCATTGAATATGCCAGTCCTTGAACACACACTATCATGTTGATCAGCATAGAGATTACATATATCTAGCAGAGAGGCCACAGCCGTGTTATGTTACTAAAAGATGGCCTGCAAACCTAAGTAGANTTAATCTCTATGCTGATCAACATGTATGTGTGTTCAAGGACTGGCATATTCAATGAGGGAACAAACCAGGGCNCAACAAATAAAGACCAAAATGAATAACAACGAAATTGCTTTGAGATTTTTTTGGCTTTACTGTCTACTCCTAGCTGCTTCCATCTACTTAGGTGTGAATGCCATCTTTTAGTAACATAACACGGCTGTGGTCTCTCTGCTAGATATATGTAATCTCTATGCTGATCAACATGATAGTGTGTGTTCAAGGACTGGCATATTCAATGAGGGAACAAACCAGGGCACCTGCAGACAGGTAGGCTGATGGAATGAATGACAAGTAGGCTGATGGAATGAATGACAGGTAGGCTGATGGAATGAATGACAGGTAGACTGATTGAATGAATGACAGGTAGGCTGATGGAATGAATGACACCATCCTACCGGCACAATTTTTACTTTTACTGATTCATGTTTAATTGTTTATATATCTTATATGAACAATTATTAAAAAGTAAATACAGGTATAAAATATACCATATACAGAGTTAAAGGAATACTTACATGAATGCTGAAAAAGTATGAGAATCCAACAAATATGACGATAAGGATTGGAACAATTTTCATTCTTTTTACAAAAGGTTCCAGTGTAGGAATGTCTGCTGACTGGTCGTTGTTTATCATGTCTATGTACGTTCTAAACTTGTAATACGGACCTGAAACATGACGGAAGTACAACTTGTTACTAAAACAGGGCATAATAATCAATTGTTACTGAAACAGAGCATAATAATCAATTGTTACTGAAGCAAGACAGAATTGACTTGTTACTGAAACAGGGCATAATAATCACTTGTTACTGAAACAAAACAGAAGTATCACCTGTTACTGAAACATGGCATAATAATCAATTGTTACTAAAACAGGGCATAATAATCAATTGTTACTGAAACAGGGCATAATAATCAATTGTTACTGAAACATGGCATAATCATCAATTGATACTAAACAAGACACAATTAACTTGTAACTGAAACATGACATAATCATCAATTGTTACTGAAACATGTCAAAATTGACTTGTTACTGAAACATGACAAAATCATCACTTGTTAGGTAGCAGTATACAGTAGAGGGTTGTGGCCATGGGGGATATTTTTNAATAAGACAGAATTGACTTGTTACTGAAACATGACAAAATCATCACTTGTTACTGAAACATGACAAAATCATCATTTGCTACTGAGACATAACACAAGTATCACTTGTTACTGAAACATGACAAAATCATTATTTGTTACTGAAACATGACAGAATCATCATTTGTTACTGAAACATAATAAAATCATCATTTGTTACTGAAACATAATAAAAGTATCACTTGTTACTGAAACATAACAACAACATCATTTGTTACTGAAACATAACAAAATCATCATTTGTTACTGAAACATGACAGAATCATCACTTGTTACTGAAACATGACAAAAGTATCACTTGATACTTAAACATGGTCCAATCATCACAATCATATAACAAAACACAACCAAATAATCGATCTGCTGATCTTCCTGTCCATATGAATACATCACTGATTTACTAAATATACCTTATTGATTAATTTCCTGTATCGGTGAATACACCAGTGATATAACTGTATTTGAGAATCCACCAGTTATTTACCTGTAAATTGCCCGAGGAAACAAAACGCATACAGGAAGATGTCCACTGAGGAAGGAGTGACCTCCTGGTATTTTTTCTTCAGTGTCATCTCCTCTGATGAACAATCTTCTCTCTTGGTGGAGGTGTGTGTGTCATGGATTTCAAAACCAATGCCCACCATCTGTGGTGAGCAATGAAATCAAATATACTGAACATTCAGTTGGTGTCTAATACTGATACTACAAAATGCACTTTTAGAAGTAGAAGATTATTATTTTGGCAAATTTATATCATCAGCTAATGATCATAAGCAATAAATGTAGTGGTTTTTTTTTTTAATTTTAACTTATTTTTGGAGGGTCACAACATGTGTTCCATATCTCTGAGAGTTAGATAAAAAAATATTTTTTGTTACATTTTTACCAATGAAATATGAGAAATTATCAGTATGACTGAGGTGTTTTTTTCACTGCATTGAAGATAAATAATAGGATACCCTGTATTTTAAATTGTGAAGCTGATTGAGATGTCACAATGCAATGAAACAGTGAAATGTGGTTATGACATCTAATCAAATGGTTTTTTTGTAGCACCATATTATTTTGATCATATCACTAGCAATATTTGATCCTAAATATCTCAAAAATATCCTTATGCCTTTGCAATTTAGAATATCAATTAAAAAACAAAACATCTTATGATAATATGTCCAATACACACATGCACAACATCACACATCATATTTGCTTGCACATGCATGTAGTTTAAGAAAGGAATGAAGTGGTTCAGTAATGATATTTTTGTCATTTCTTTTTGGTTCTATTATCATTTCCATTATTAGAAAAAAATTACAATAATTTTGATATTCATGTACACTCATCTCTCAAATGCATTACATGCATGTGATATGTATCCTAATTTTTAGAGGCAAACCTAATCTTGATTTTTTATAACCAATTTGCAACACACAATGTAAAAAATCTTACTTGCTTTAGTATTTAATTCATGTTAAAATATCTTTAAAAATAATCTTGTTATTTTAACATTAAACACAAAAAAACTGTTATATATATGTACAATTTTTTTTTGCATTATTAGCATGATCTTATAAAATGCAAGCAAACACATGTAAGCGTTAATTACATAATAAGAGTCAGCAAGTTCCTACCCTTAATGTGAGAAGCAGCTGTACAGCATTAGACAGTGCTGGTGCCTGGGGTAATCCTAAGTAGTGACAGGTACGGAAAAACAGCAGGTACCCAAATCCCCAAAAGAATAAATAAGTGTGGCATTTCCTACAAAAGTGAAACAAAACTGTTCTTTGATGACTGAACATCACAATTCAACAAAATGATCTAGGTAATGCATCCATGCAAAAGTGAATGACATACCAAACAATGCTAGTAGTGGTAAGTGTTTCCTGATAATCAAGCTCAGGGTCGTATATTGACTTATATGCCATTTGGCACAATTCGAAAATGAGAGTGAGGTGAAGTGATGATGGAAAATCAACTAAATAAGCAAAAAGATCAACCCAGTCAAGTTCATTACATTCCTCCCTTTTTCTCAGACTTCGTCTCCAAAGGCGTAATATTGTAATATTACTGATATGGACTTAGAGGCAGTGTATGCCTGCGTCCATCAATTTTCCTATTTAGAAAACATCACTTTATTAGTAACAGCCCAGTTCCGTATTCTCTTGCTAAGCACTCGTCAAGCGTTTAAAACAAGAGTTGGCAAGTTCACCAATTTTGTAACAGGAGAAGAGAAATGCAACCGCCAGACTGGGATTCAAACCTAAGACCCTAAGAACACTAGATGAACACTCTACCAATTGACCTACCTGGTCCCCGACGATTGACCAATCCAGTTCTGCTACACTATGTAGTCAGATCCAGCGCATTCTGCCAATTGAGCTACATTCAAATGTAGCTGTATAGACCTATAACAGCTTTATCAATCTATCTTAAAAAGGTCTTTTGAGCTATTTTCACACCGTCTTTTAACAGTTTTTATTACTGAAGATATTTTTTTAAATGTTGATGCAATTGGAAAATTTTAAGTTTTATGAAATATAAAAACACAATCATAAGTTTATGCTTTTTGTAGTCAACATTTAATACCATAAAACCTATAGTATAATCGACTTTGCATCAGTATTATTAAAATTGAAGACATGAGAAATGATAGCTCAATACAGCTACATGTATAGATTATAGGTGGATATTACTATAATATATAGGTCTTTTAATTCACACTATATTATAGTGTATATCCTGTAAATTTTTACACTTTGCTACAATTAGCATATATATGTACATTACACTATGATAGTGTCTTAACTTGTCTTTTGTAACACTTGTGTGACATTCAAGTGTTCACTATTAAATTATTTTGCAAAAACTGTGATTTCATATGCTCTACTGTATATTTCTAGCATATCTAATTTGAAGTGTTGTCTTGTTTTTATATATATATATTCATAAGTACTGTGACCCTTGTTAAATTGTATATATGTTTTGTCGCAAGAATCGCACTACAGTGCTAATGTATGTTATTATTTTATTATGTTACATGTTGTATATGCGACGTTAAATAAAGCTTCTTGACCCTTGATCTGTAACAAAGGGTTACACTGGCAAACAAGTCGTTAGCAGATTCTTCCTGTCTTCAACTTTAATTCACAGATCATCAGAGATGTGAAAAGCAGATTGTTCAATGTAATTTATAAACTACACTACAATTATAAAGACATGAACAACTGGTATCAATACCATATCAACAGTTATTACTGATATTCAGAAACTTTTATATGTTGATATTTGGTGGCAATTCAGGACATAATAAAAATTACAAATGCACAACTGTTTTCAGATTCATTAGTAACACATTTTGAAATGTTTTTTGTTTTTGTGTGCACACTTTATATACGATAACTTAGATAAAATATAGTAATTGATTCAATGAAGCAACACAAAATAAAACCGAGATATAAACTGGTAGTCACAAGTATGTACTACTGTACGTTATGTGTGCACGGATTTCCGGGAGCTTACCCCGGTCCACTAATTTTTATCAGGATACAGCTGATTAAGGTGGTCACGATTGAGTGACAGATGTGCCATCCACAAGTTAAACAGATGATTAACACCCCCATGACGGTACATATCGCCTTCTTCGTGAGCGAACTGTTGCACAGCTTGACGACATGAGCAATTGGTAGCGATACAACAAGGATAATACAATATATCACGTCGTCTGAAAGTTCAGGCAGCTCCATGTTTCTTTTCCACTTATCGACCTCCACGACAGGAGAGTCACCAAAGGGTACATAACCTACATTTTTCCCGCAAAAAAAATCAGTACACGATATCCATGTTCCCATAAAGTAATTTAACAGCGGATCCACTTGTTCCCATAAAGTAATTTCACAGCAGATCCATTGAATATTGAATATTGTATTACTCACAAGACTTCAGTAGATGTCATATTTTTATTATTACCACGGAATAAGATTGAAAGTCCGTGTTATTCCGTGTAATACTATGTAAAAAAGTTCAAGAGAGTATAGGTATGGGGTGACCGTGTGGGGAAAGTCTGTTTCATTCCTACTCAAGATCTCAAAGTCTATTCTCACTTTGTTTTCATCAACTTTTAATAGGCACTTTAAATTATGGTCTGAAACTTTGTTTTATAATTGATACTTTAAAAAAATATTTTGCAACCCTAATATTTTGAGGGTAAAAAAAACACGGATTCGAGCACACATGAACACTGAGTCGATCCGTTTTATTGACACAGTGAACTTTCATCCGATAAATATTAAATTAAAAATAAATAAGATCGTAACTAATTTTTAAAATATCATGTACTTTATGGATTTTATATGTGTATTCCGATACATGATCTGTATGATCCTCTACACCGAACTCCAACACGGCATGAAACATACACGATACACGTATGTTACACATACAATATAAGTAATTATGAAAGTTTGTTTATAAATGGACACCACATGATTAACAAAGTATGTTAGCTCTGCAACTCATCCAGTTCCTGATCAATCCAATGTTTATCGAGTCTTTTTTTTAAATGTATTTATTGATGGTGCTGATATCACATCCTCTGGAAGCCTGTTAAATAATTTTACTACCCGTTGGGGGGAAGCTCTTCCGTTTTTCACTTTTTTAAAACCCCTACGGGCCTTGTACCTTGTCTTTCGGAAAAGTCCTGGCACAATTAAAAGAAGTCCGACGCTTTTCGATCGCTTCTATCGCATCACGTGTGAAGCTCAAAGTAGGTAAGTATAGTATTAAACCAATCCGGATATGACATATATCTAAATCCCAGATTATTTTTTTTCGTTGCCCTTCTCTGGACTCTTCCCAACATATCAATATGCTTAGTTTTATATGGGTTTTCATATCCTAAATTAACTCTAACAAGAGTTTAATATAGTAGCGGAAAGGAACGTACATTCACGTATTGAAAAGATAGTCGAATGATCGCGAACATTGAGTTTGCCTTTTAAACCGGTGCTCTTAATTGGTCTTTAAATGTTAGGGTATTGTCTATAAACACCCCCAGATCCTTCTCTTGGCATCATCTAGTGCTCTCTCAATTCACGGCCGATGTGCATGGATTTAAATTTTCCATGATGGAATTTCAAGAGCCATTTGTCGTTCCACTCAAAAAGTCTTTTTATATCCGTTAGGAAAGTGTCTATAGCTTTAAGTCCACGTATCACTCTGTACATCTCAGTATCATCAGCAAAAGGTAGCCAGATGACTTGAAAATATCTAGAAGATCGTTTATGTATGTTACAAACAGAGGGGTTCCAGAACAGATCCTAGGGGTATCCCCGGTGTGGGTACATGTACCCGGACAGCTCCTTGGGGTATCCCCGGTGTGGGTACATTTACCAGGACAGATCCTTGGGGTATCCCCGTGTTATTGAAGATCACCTTGAATGTTCTCCTTTGACAGATATCATATGTTCTCCTTGGGGTATCCCCGGGGTGGGTACATGTACCAGGACAGACCCTTGGGGTATCCACGGTGTTGGTACATGTACCAGGACAGATCCTTAGGGTATCCCCGGTGTGGGTACATGTACCAGGACCAGATCCTTGGGGGATCCCCGGTGTGGGTACATGTCCCAGGACAGATCCTTGGGGTATCCCCGGTGGGGGGACATGTACCAGGACAGATCCTTGGGGTATCCCTGGTGTGGGTACATGTACCAGGCCCAGATCATTGGGGTATCCCCGGTGTGGGTTCCTGTCCCAGGACAGATCCTAGGGGTACCCTAGTATCTGGAAGATTGTTTGTGTATATTACAAACAGAATGGGTACCAGGACAGATCCTTGGGGTATCCCCGGTGTGAGTACATGTACCAGGACAGATCCTTTGGGTATCCCCGGTGTTGGTACATGTACCAACACCGGGGATACCCCTAGGATCTGTTCTGGAACCCCTCTGTTTGTAACATACATAAACGATCTTCTAGATATTTTCAAGTCATCTGGAAGATTGTTTGTGTATATTACAAACAGAATGGGTACCAGGACAGATCCTTGGGGTATCCCCGTGTTATTGAAGATCACCTTGAATGTTCTCCTTTGACAGATATCATATGTTCTCCTTGGGGTACCCCCGGTGTGGGTACATGTACCAGGACAGATCATTGGGGTATCCCAGGTGTGGGTTCATGTACCAGGACAGATCCTTGGGGTATCCCAGGTGTGGGTACATGTACCAGGCCCAGATCCTTGGGGTATCCCCGGTGTGGGTATATGTACCAGGACAGATCCTTGGGGTATCCCCGTGTTATTGAAGATCACCTTGAATGTTCTCCTTTGACAGATATCATATGTTCTCCTTGGGGTATCCCCGGTGTGGGTACATGTACCAGGAAAGATCCTTGGGGTATCCCCGGTGTGGGTATATGTACCAGGACAGATCCTTGGGGTATCCACGGTGTTGGTACATGTACCAGGACAGATCCTATGGGTATCCCCGGTGTGGGTACATGTACCGGGACAGATCCTTGGGGTATCCCCGGTGTGGTTACATGTACCAGGACAGATCCTTGGGGTACCCCCGGTGTGGGTACATGTACCAGGACAGGTCCTTGGGGTATCCACGGTGTTGGTACATGTACCAGGACAGATCCTATGGGTATCCCCGGTGTGGGTACATGTACCAGGGCAGATCCTTGGGGTATCCCCGGGGTGGGTACATGTACCAGGACAGACCCTTGGGGTATCCACGGTGTTGGTACATGTACCAGGACAGATCCTTAGGGAATCCCAGGTGTGGGTACATGTACCAGGACAGATCCTAGGGGTACCCTAGTATCTGGAAGATTGTTTGTGTATATTACGAACAGAATGGGTACCAGGACAGATCCTTGGGGTATCCCCACTGTGGGTACATGTACCAGGACAGATCCTTCGGGTATCCCCGGTGTGGGTGCATGTACCAGGACAGATCCTTTGGGTATCCCGGTGTGGGTACATGTACCAGGCCTAGATCCTTTGAGTATCCCTGGTGTGGGTACATGTACCAGGCCCAGATCATTGGGGTATCCCCGGTGTGGGTTCCTGTCCCAGGACAGATCCTAGGGGTACCCTAGTATCTGGAAGATTGTTTGTGTATATTACAAACAGAATGGGTACCAGGACAGATCCTTGGGGTATCCCCAGTGTTGGTACATGTACCCCCAAGGATCTGTCCTGGTACATGTACCAACACTGGGGATACCCCAAGGATCGGTCCTGGTACATGTACCCCCACCGGGGATACCCCAAGGATCTGGGCCTGGTACATGTACCCACACCGGGATACCCAAAGGATCTGTCCTGGTACATGCACCCACACCGGGGATAGCCAAAGGATCTGTCCTGGTACATGTACCCCCACCGGGGATACCCCAAGGATCTGGGCCTGGTACATGTACCCACACCTGGGATACCCCAAGGATCTGTCCTGGTACATATACCCACACCGGGGATACCCCAAGGATCTTTCCTGGTACATGTACCCACACCGGGGATACATGTACCAGGACAGATCCTTGGGGTATTCCCGGTGTGGGTTCATGTACCAGGACAGATCCTAGGGGTACCCTAGTATCTGGAAGATTGTTTGTGTATATTACAAACAGAATGGGTACCAGGACAGATCCTTGGGGTATCCCCACTGTGGGTACATGTACCAGGACAGATCCTTTGGCTATCCCCGGTGTGGGTGCATGTACCAGGACAGATCCTTGGGGTATCCACGGTGTTGGTACATGTACCAGGACAGATCCTTTGGGTATCCCGGTGTGGGTACATGTACCAGGCCCAGATCCTTGGGGTATCCCCAGTGTGGGTACATGTACCAGGACAGATCCTAGGGGTATCCCCGGTGTGGGTACATGTACCAGGACAGATCCTTGGGGTATCCCCAGTGTTGGTACATGTACCAGGACAGATCCTAGGGGTATCCCCGGTGTTGGTACATGTACCAGGACAGATCCTTGGGGTATCCCTGGTGTGGGTACATGTACCAGGACAGATCCTTGGGGTATCCCTGGTGTGGGTACATGTACCAGGACAGATCCTTGGGGCATCCCCGGGGGGGGTGCATGTACCAGGACAGATCCTTGGGGTATCCCCAGTGTGGGTACATGTACCAGGACAGATCCTTGGGGTATCCCCGGTGTTATTGAAGATCAACTTGAATGTTTTCCTTTGACAGATATCATATGTTCTCTGTCTGAAATTAATCTTGACGTCCATATACGAATCTGTCCACTAAACCTGTAAGAGCAAATGTTACCCCACAACCTTTTATGTTTAACGGTGTCAAAAGCTTTTTGAAGGTCCATATACATACAATCCATAGATCAACCTTGATCTAAAGCATCGGTCCGTTCACCCAGTACTTTAAAAAGTTGTAGAGTACAAATCCGTACTGCCTCGACAAAAGTAACCGATTTGGCTTAAAATGATCCACTATGCGTCTCCAGCACAGGGACATGAGCATTTGTTATAGCTATATTTGGATCTTAACGAAGGTGTTCAGAGTAATTTTAGTTTTAGGGTTTAGATCGACTTTCAGTAAAAATGACACCCAAATATATACGATAAGAAGGGTGGATAGCTCTCGATGTCGAAACATCGACTCCACCTAACTTTCTTGCATCAAAAACCACATTTCTAATTAGTGAACGATTAAATACTAAGCACACCTTCCCCGTCACATCGTCTTAATAGGGAGCTTTGTTAAGTGAATAGTCGTCATATT